TTGCCTTCACTATTGTGGCGTTGGGTGTTCTGTCTTTAAAGATGTCACTGAAGTGTATGTCGTGTAGTGTTTGACCCATCTTTGCTTCTAGGTTTGACCCATTCTTTTGCTTCTATTTTATGGTTTCCGTTCTTATGAGTTGATTTTTGGAGAGAGAAGAATTTCCTTTATTTTTTTTTTTAAGACTGAATAGTAGTTTAAGACTTCTTTTTATATAGTTTTAATAAAAGTATAATCACAAGCAATTCTTTCATTTTCCTATAGTGTCTACCTATCTAATTATCATTTGTATTCTATTGATTCAATAATTTGTTGAAGTATGTTCCAAATGTTAGACATTCAGGTTTCCAGATTTGTATGGTGGTGATTATAGTCTACAATGTTTCCATAAAAGTAAAAAAACAAAAACAAAAACAAAAAATCATTTCTTTGGAGGATTAGCCAGTGAAAGATTCATGCTATGAAATTTTCTTTTTCCACTTGTTTCAGCTTGTTTTTGGAAGCAGGCAGAATATATAATGCAAAGACAATAGTACTTCCCTTGATTGGGAATAAAACGCCCTGCTTCCTAAGCCACCTTGGATGGTGTTTAGGGCCCTTTGCCCATGCCCCCAACACAGAGATATGTTATAGCTACAGATTGGCACTGGCAACAATTACAACTACACGAAAGAGTGAATAACCCATAATTGGACATCTGTTTAAAAGTGATTCTATGCAATTTTAAATTGCTATTAATATGCAAGTATCATCAAAATCAGTTATCTTTGATTCTAAAAATCTATGTATTTGTGCATAAGCCCTCGCTTTGCTTATACAAACCCAGTCTAATCCATTAACATTGGTTCAAATGGAAACTACTTCACCCTAATAGCCCTATGAAGTAGAAATTATTTAAAGAACCAGGAAACTAAGCACTAGTATTGATCTGTATCTTGTCTTACTTATCAGGATGTGTGTAAAATTGGATGAAAAAAAACAAACCCTTTAACAAAGGGTTTTTGGTACATGTAGAATATTGTACTTGGTGATAGCCAGGATTTTGAGCTCACTTACTTAAAATCCCCTCACTCCAAACTGGAAACTCGGAGCATGAAAGCAACTTGTTCAAGGTCACATACTT